TGCTCTGAGATCAGGTAGTCATTTTAACATTTATAGATGGTAAGCTATACGAATCTTATGAATACAAAAGAAGATAAGTAATGGCTTCATTAAGTCAAATCACAGCTACTATAGATGTCTTTACTTAAATACATCCGAAAAATTTTTTTGCAATATAAATATTAATTCAGTGTATCCCACGTTTACCTTAAGTCTCATTATAAAATCAGATGGATATTCAGATGGGAATGGCTGGCTATTCAATATGTAAGTAAATTGTAATTAAAAATTAAGTAAACTTTCTTAGCTGTACATTTGAAGAGAAAATGAATTTTTCTGATAAAACACTAGCAACAAAATGTTAATGATGCTATGTTATATTCCAAATGCATGAAATGAAAGTAAATCATCTCAATCATTTTAAATTAGCTTAAAAATTAGAGTTTAAGTTAGGGAATCAAGAAGGTAACTCAAATATACATAGACAATCTGGAAACTGGGCTGTTTGAGCTCCCAAATAATTAACATTTATTGGGTACAGACAGTGTGCTTTGAAATCAGTCTTTACAATCTATGTATTTGTAAATCCCACTGTAAGTGAGGACAGTGAGGAACAGAGAGGTTAAGCAATCTGCCCAAGGCCAAACAGTCAGCAGCCTGACTCCCAACTTCTCCTCCTCCCCCTCCCCCTCCCCACTATACACGCCCGCCCTCCTCGAGTCTTCCTCCTACTTGTGGTGGGAAGGGAGCAAATTCCAGTGCAAGCAGTGATGGTGGCTGGAGCGCCGCGTGTTGAATTGCTTATAGTCCAGGTTATAATCTCTACCCATTCTCTTTAGGAAGGAAAGAGGAGATGCACACGGCATTTTGATTTGGTTTAAAGGAAAAAAAAATGCTTTGAATCTGTTCATTCAAAGTAGTGGACAAGGTGGGAAGGGTATAGCTTGGTGGTAGAGTGCATGCCTAGCATATATGAGGTCCTGGGTTCAATCTCCAGTACCCCCACTAAAAAAAAATAAGTAAGTAAACCTAATTACCGCCCCCACCAAAAAAAAAAAAATGACTTAAAGTAGTGGACAGTTTGAAAGTGTGGATTGGAACAGTGATGGAGAAGTCATGCTCAAGTTAGAGATGAAGTGTGAGGTGAACAAGAGGATTCACACTTTGTACCAAGAAGGAAAATAAACGAGCAAACAAAGTCCCATAATCAGGGACTTGTGTGTCCAAAAAAGGTCAGCAGGGCAGTGTTGGAGGACAGTGGAGACCCAGCAACTGGTATGCAGCTTTCCTGGAGGAACAGAATTAGATACTCCATGGTGAGAGAGGCAGCCGGACCTAGCACTGCCCAGCAATGCCCAGCAGCCTGAATAACCAGGGGCTTGACAGTTACGCTACCCAAGCAATTAAGAATGGCCCGACATTCAGAGGCTGACAGCCCCTAAGAAAAATTACTCACCTGTCCTTTAAACATGCTACATTCCAAATATAACTTGGCGCTTCAATTTTTAATCTATTAGAGTCTTTTCAGTTGCTGTAGCCTGCTTCACTTCTGACTAGTTAGAAACCTTCTTATTTGACACAGCCAAATTAAAAAAAAAAAAGTTCGAGTGGAGGCTTAAACACACAAAAAAAAGCCTCTAATATTTTATTTTGTCTTAAAACAGGTACATTTGTTGATATTCAAATTTGGTCATTATTTTATCATGGAACTGCCTTTAAAAAAAATATTGGTCTCAAGCTGGAGTTCTAGGTCATCTAGTTTGTGTAAATCATGCCCTTTATACAGCATTAAAATGTCCCATTTCAGTTTCTTTAAAAGGAGGGAGAACACTGAAAAGTTTGTAAAACAGTATGAATGCAGAATCCCGTCTAGATTTTCAAGCTTTGCTCTTTTATAATGTTCTCAGTTGTATCTGATTTGACTGCAGTTTACTTTACTAATTCACTTTTTTCCCCTAGTGAAAACGTAATTAATGTGTGCAATTATTTCATAGAACAGTTCTTTTTTTTTTTTTCCTTTCTCATTCGTGTTTCATTGATTGAGTTACTGGGCTCCAGTAACGAGTACAACTTCCATTAAGAAGTTCAGGCGTAAATACCACTTGGTGAACGTGGCTCAGCAGATAGTGAAGATGGGCTGGATTTAGGAAGAGAATGGACCGAGGGCATTCAGTATTCCGTGAGCATCAGCGCATTTCGTAGAGAGAAGGGAGAGCGCTGGTTAATGCTGTGCTGCAAAGCGGGTCGGTTAATAGTGCAGAACTCAAAAGATAGAAAGTTGAATTTGTAATGTGATATTTGCTCAGAGGGTCCAAGCCTCCAAGGAGATGTTCTCAGAGACTCCTACCAAAACACCTGAGCTTCAGTTTCCTCTGCTGTAAAATGATTTAAAAAACAATAATAACCATAATACCTGCTCTCTGCTCTGCCAAACTCAAATGATCGTGGAAGGGATTCAAAGATGTAATATTGGTGAAGGCACTTTGCATATTAAATTGCTGCATCTCTAGGTTAGTAATATTTCATTGGAACGCTAAGAATAACTATGACCATAATAATTTTAGACAATCTGACCCATTCTGTCCCTGTCATATGTGAATGTAACCCAAATGTCACTGTCTTCTTTTTGTTTATTTAGATCCACTTTCTATTCTGTTTTTAGTATGTGTCTTTAGCTCACAGCACAAATCTCTTTGATTTTTTAAATGCATAGAATTTAAAAAGAAAGTAACTTAAAAATAGATTTCTTTTTCCAGGCAACTAAAATGCTAGCTAGATCTGCTCCTTCTTTATGCTTAAATAGCCCCAGTGTGGTGGGGGAGGGGGTATGGTGAGAGGGAGGGTCAAAGAAAGAAAAATCATAAAAATAAGAGTTTGCATCGCTTTGGATTGCATTCTACTTTTGCTATAAATTAATGTTTATGAATAATTGGTTGATGTCCAGAATCTTTACAGTCAAGGTTCACTAATTACTTGTTTGTATGAGAGACACGTGACCTTCTGGAAACCTCTTTTTTTCCTCCAAATTATGAATTCTCAGAATTAACAGAAAATTTTATTGAAAGAATCAGCCCAGTTAGCAGAAGAACAGTGATGATTTGGGGCTATGTTCTGCGAGATAGCATGCCATTCTGAATTACCTACAGTTGGTGTGGTTTCACAGTATTATCTGTAAGAGAGCATTTTCCTTCCTTGCATTTTCTTGTTTCACGTCATTGTTAACACCACAATAAAGAAGCCCTGAAAGGCTGTTCACGAAGATCATTTGAACGTGAACTTGTGCTCTTAGAAGTAACTACATTTGCAGCTCCCCCCACCTCACATTCAAAAGCACCTACACTTATCTGGTCTCTTTTTCTACGTTTTCTTAAAAGGGGTGGGGGGGGCGTATTCAGTGTGTAAAAATAAGCTATTGTATCTCTGAGAGGAGATGGGATGCTAATTAAGGGTTGTTTGAATGAACAAGTCACATTGCATTGTCTACTGGGAGCCGGCTGCCAATTGCATTTTTGGTAAAGAGTCAAGAAAAACATTCAGGAGGGCCCCGGCAAGCTTGGGAGAGAAGCGAGCAGCGTTTCCATTTATCAAGTAGGTGCACAAGCCTCTGTTGTATTGTGCGGAGTCATGGTGCAGGCTGGGAGCTCCTGCCTCGCTCAGCTTCCCATCCTGGTTTCAAGAGCCACCTTCGCAGAGAAGGGCCAGCTCCTTAGGCCTGATCGTGGACAATGGGGCACGTATGCCAGACTGCTGGGCCACTGAATGCCTCTGTCTTTGTTCAGTACCTTTTTCGAGATTCTTTGTCACTCTTCTTGGATTCATCCAGGAGGCATGGGTTTTAAGACACACAATAGCTCGGGTCTTGCAGCGAAATAATTGATGCTCCATTGAAAGAAACCAGGCAGACTGGTTAGTATGATTATCTTTAACAAACCGGGGGACTCTGAGATGTCTGGCAACTGGTAAATGAGGAGGGAAAGAAATTGCTGTATTTTGAAAAGGTTTCTTTTCTTAATGTTAACGTTGTATCAGCCAGAGTCAGCCTTTAGCCAGTTGCCTGATCGTCTTGGAGGTGGGGTGGCACGTAAAGAGACGTGAAAATGGTTTACTTTGTTTGGAGAAGGACCAGAACATAGAGGATGCAAATGTTTTTATTGTAATGGATGAAAGAAGCAGTGATTCTACTAGGTGAAGTGACTTCCTTGTGGTTCTATCATATAGAGTATTTGGTGCTTTAGCAGGATAGAGTCTGGAGGCGTGTTTCTGATTCTTTACTGTCTTTTCCTTTAATTCTATAATTTTGTAAATTGTTTGCTGTTCTTTTAAATCTATAAGTACTTAGTATTTTTCAAGTGTGGTCATATGCCTTTGACATAGATGTGAAGGAACAAGTGTCCTGAGGATTCAAAGCTCTCTATTAAAGGCAACAGGTGAAGGAATTTCGCTGTAAATAATGCATGTGTGTTTGAAAGAAAGTGACAAATTCTATTTAAACAATATTTCTAAAATTAACTTGCTTCCCTGGGCACTCAAAATAAAACATCAACTTTTACTCTTTACATTCTTAATTGTTAAAATATATGGTAACAAATTAATAGTTCTTTTGCAGTTGTTTAAAGGCAAAATAGTAAATAATATGAGCTTGTATGGATGCTTGAATCTTATTTTGTAGTTTTTCAAATAATGTAGCTTGGATATTTTAAAAATAATACAACATTTAATGCATGACCTAATGCATTTTTAAGTAATGATCAGATCACTTTAGATCAGAAACCCATTCCATAACCCAGCAGTTGTAAAATATAATAACAATAATGCTAATAGTAAAATCATCATGTTTTGAAAGCTTACCCATTTAAAATACATACTTTAGTGGTTTTAGTGCATTTATGGAACTGTAAACATTGATACTTGATTTTTTTTTGATTAATAAAATAGGAACTTTTGAGATACCTGAATGATAAGTGTTCCAAGGCCAATAAAAACCATTCACATGTGCTGTGTTCTTCTGTTGCCTCCTCCAGAAATGCGTGCTTTACTGGCCAGAAAAGAGAGGAATATATGGGAAGGTGGAGGTTCTGGTTATTAACGTAAATGAATGTGATAACTACACCGTTCGAAACCTCGTCTTAAAGGTAAGACTGTGTAGCTGCAGGTATCTACGAAGTAGACATTGTGCGAGGGTGATATTGCTGCTTTAAATGATTTATCCTGAAAGTATTGCAGATTCAATTTAAACAAATTAAATAATATCAAGATCAAGGAGGAATTAACATCATCCCCTTATGTATTTCTTTGTTGTCAGCTACTATCAGTATGTGGAAATAATTAAATTAATACAAGTAGACATTAAGGAAACTCACTAAGTAGAATGCTGTGATCTAATCTGTATAAATGTAACATCCCTGATTTAACCTTTTGACTGCTTTTAACTTAAGGCTTGTGCTGGAGACTTTATCATGATTTTTTTTTTAACGTCACTTTGGTCTAAGTAGATTTGAGTAAAGCCTGGAAACTGTGAAAGGGAAAATCTGCACTTGTGGGTGGCTGTGGGAGGCAAGAAAAGCCCGAAGTGTTGATGAGATCTTCCAAAACTTAGAGTTACAGTCATTTATAGGGACTTTCCTGGACCAGATTACGTCACGGGAAAGTTATCTTATTTAAATTACAGGCAGCAGATGTCATGGTATTGTTTTTACTTCTAGAGAGCAATTCTCCCAAAGAATCCAGTTCTCTCCAGAGCCTCGCTGCTGGGACAGCATCATGGCAGAGAGGACGGGAGTAGAGGCAGGGGTGTACTGGTGGGTTTTAGTGGGAAGTTCGGGGCAGCAAGGCACTTACCAGGACCTGTCCTTTCACATGCATTCTTGAGTGCCTAGTCCATAGCAGGCCCCCAACTGGGCACTGGCTTTTGAGATGTTGTGCCTGGACCCTCACTCAAAATGTTTCTAATCTAGTGACCCCTTGTCACTCCTTTACTACCAGATTCCTCACTGCTGTCAAAAACTGGAATTTGCGATGACTGTAGAATTATTGGAGTGACTGAATATAAACTTAAGTGTTCTTATATTGGTCAATATGTTCATAATAACCTGTCAGAAATGTTCCAAGAGCAGAAACCACATTCCAGCCTGATTCTTTCTTGGCTTTATTTTCATCTACCCTTATGTTTATTGTAACAAATTACAAACATATATTTAGCATATGCACATTTTCTATATTGAATGTATAATTTCTATATTAAGCCTATATTTCTATACTAGATATTAAATATGTATTTCTCATTTAGTAGAAGGAAGACTCTCAAACTTTGACCTCAGCATATTTACAGGAAAGTTTTCTCAGGGTAAAAGAGTAGTCTTCAAAAATCCCCTAGGTTTTTTTTCCACCTAGAAGTAAGTTGCCAGCAAGATGGGAGTGATAGTCGGCATTCAGTCTTGCGGTTTGGATGACTTTTAGTCCCACAAGTAAATGAAGCATTTGGTGGCTGTTACTATTTCCAGCAAGGAAGTCACACCCAGCACGTGAAGCATTACTGGTACACCTCATGGCCCGATCACAAGACTCCAGACAGTGCCCAGCCCCTTCTGCAGCTCATGCTGGATGTGGAAGAAGACAGACTCGCTTCTGCAGGCAGAGGGCCTGTGGTTGTCCACTGCAGGTAAGGGGTGGACGGGCCCTTCTGCCGAAGCAACTGGCCACCCTTTGGAGAGTCACAGAGCAGGTGGAAGTTGGGTTTTGCTTCCTGCTTCTGACTTTGCTGATAAATTAAATATGTGTTTAAACTGGTTAACTGCCTAATAGCTGAGCCTTGACCAAGACGATACTTAACAGAAATGAAGTGACATGATTGGCATGTTGTCAGCAAACAAGCACACAGTGGAGGGAGGAGGGTAGAGCTCAGTGGTAGAACACATGCCTAGCATGCAGAAGGCCCCGGGTTCAATCCCCAGTACCGCCACTAAAAACAAATAAATAAATAAATAAAAATCTAATTACCTTCCCCTCACAAAAAAAAAATCCAAAACAATCACACAGTGGAGAAAATATCACCTCTATAGTAATAAATAATACTATATAATATATATATACAATAGTATATAACAGCTCAGGGAACAGGAGACCTCATTCAGTCCTCTACCTTGAAACGCAGATTCATTTAGTCTCATCAGTCTCCTATGGGCCAGGAATGACATTTTTTTTTCATTATCAACAACTTTTTTGTTCTTTCAAGATGGCACCTGTACTTTACTCAGATTGTACCCTGATAACATTTATTATGTCACATATGGTGAAAACCAGTCAATTATTCTAAAAAAAAAGTTAACCTCATGAAAAACAGATGGAAATAAATTTATGAAATGGGAAGTGGGCAAGTGGTAATTGACCAAGAGGGAAACAAAGCGCTGTGACTGGAGCGTGTGGTCCTGGAGGCCAGGCTGACGAAGTGACAGACGTCCGTGGTGGTTCTCTTCCCTAAGCTCTAGCCTGAAGGTCTTTTCCTCTGGCTTGTACCTCTTCCCCCTGGTTTTCCTGTTCGTGTGCCCAAACTAACGCCCATATTTTAAAGTTATTTATACAACCCATCATTTATCCTCCATACTTCCTCAAATTAATTTGTGTTATTTTACTTAACCTCCTAGGTCTTATAAGATAGCTTTTGATGATATTTTTAATTAAAAAAAGGTGTATTACTTTAGATGATCATGTTGGCCTTCCTTTGAACCTTTGTGGTTTAATTAAGAGCAAAATTCACTATCTGTCTATTTATCCAAAGCGTCATTATCTAGTTTGTAACATTAGGCCTTCTCCTAAACTTAGCCTGGGGCTGAAGTGAAGGACCGAATGGGCCATATTTTAGGGCTGGAACCGTCCCCCACCCAAAGCCATGGAACAGGATATCTAAAATGAACGAACCATTGTCCTCATAAAACCAGCTCCCTTTCTGATTGCTGTTTCTAAGAATGAGACCATCTTTTTTCCAGGCACTCAACATCAAATGTTGACAGTTATCTTTGGCCCTTCTCTCAGCTCCAGCCTCCGTATCTAATCAGTCACCAGATTGGCTTTCCCTTCAAAGCTTCGCCCATAATCACCACTTCCTGCCCAACCACCCAAGTTCAGGCCCTCGTGACCTCACCCATGTATGTCAGAAGTAGTCGGCTAATTGCACGCACACACACCCCAGTGCCCCGTGCTCCACCCCCACTGCCACTGACTCTGTGCACTGCTCCTGGGTGATGTGCCTAAGACCCTCTTCCATCACATGGGGCCTCTGCCCAAAACTTCTCAAAGGCTTCGTATTGCCTGGAGCAGAGACGTGGATTAGCCACAGGGGTCAGTGAACTCCTCGAAACGACTTGAACAGATTTGGGTAGATCAAGTTAGGTGAATTTTCTGGGGAGCAAAAGCCCATTGTTTTCATCAAATTCTCAAAAAAAAAAATAGAGTAGCATTGTTTTTAAGGATGAAGTCCAAACCTCTTCGCTTTCCAAAAAAGATCCTTTATAGGCCCGTGGATGGGAGGGTATAACTCAAATGGCAGAGCACATACCTAGCATGTACGAGGCCCTGGGTTCAATCCCCAGTACCTTTTCTAAAAATAAATTTAAAAAAAAAACTAATTATCTCCCCCAAAAATAATACTTTAAAAAAAAAGGATTTTTTTATAGGCCCCACTATACCTGCCCAGCCTTATCTCCCTTATCTGTTCTAGGATAACTTCCTCAAGTCAAGCCACCCATTGTCACACATCATGCTTTCTCATCTGCAGCAGTTCTTTCCTTACGCCAGTCACACATGGAACATTCTCTCTCATTTGTGATTACCAAAAACCAAACCGTCTGCCATTCATAGGGTACAGCTCGGGTCCCGTCTCTTTACCAAAACAAATTCTGGATAAACACTTCGACTGAAAGGGACTCATTCCTCCTCTGAATTCCTCTGCGCTCACATCCAACAGGAAAAAGGTGCCAAATAGGAGAAATAAGAGCCCTTTGAGCGCCACAAGGGGAACTATTAATTCAAATCATGAGGACTGAAGAAAGCCTTGAGAAGCTGGAAAAATGTTAAACAGGATCTTGAAACAAGGACCGATGTTTGTGGTTTTAAAGATTGGTAGGGAGGGCATTCCTGAGTGAAGAAATACCATGAACCCAAAAAGGAAAACTGAAAAATAAAAGAGATGTTTCCAGTGATTCAAATGAAAGCAGTGGCCCAGAGGGTACAAGCTAGACAGCAAGAAAGACAGAAAGCTTGAAAGCTCGTCACATCCATATTATGCAAAGGCCTGAATACCGGGATAGGGTGCTTAGACATTGTGCTGTGACTCTTGGGAGCCAACTACACTTTTCGAGTAGGAAGGAACAATGATCAGGTCCCTCGTTTAGAAAAATGAAACAAGCAGCTGTGTATATCATGAATTAGTCCAAGAAGAGACTGGAGACTTGGAAGCCATAATGAGATCATGGCTAATCATGAAGTAAGACTTCAAAAACGTGAGCACAGTTTATAGACAGGAAAGCATGGATCCCAGCAGCTCGGTAGAGTTGGAAAATAGAAGAACTGGTAGCAGATTGGAAGTGGGAGGTGAGAGAGGGGGAGATGCTGAAGCCGGCTCCAAGACTTCTAGGCTGAAAAACGGGTGGCTGACTGGTAATGCCATTGAGGAAAAAGATAATTAATTCTGTTTGAGGCACATTGGATTTAGATACATTGAGCGGCAGCAAGTGTGAAATAGAAGCAGCGAGAGAGCCAGCTGGGGGCGGGATGTCGATCTAGAGTTTAGGAGACACTTGGGGGATTTAACTGTCGATTTGAGAGAAATTTACAAAAGGGTGGTTGACATGGCTGAGAGACAGCAAGCTTGTTATGTTGATAACATACCGTCTAAAGGAGATTAGTGTGTAAACCTTCCAGAGAGGTAGTATTTCTAGTCAACTGTTACCTTGATTAAAAAAAAAAGACTTGGAAATATGTGCCTCCAGCCACATCCTCTCTCTTAAACTGAACCAAATCTTTAGTTATCCACTAGCACCTTCCACAGCAGTCTATCCAAGACCACACGCCTCACTCTCTCCCTCAGATCAGCCCTCATCCCAGAACCGCCCCCCCCTTGTCTGGATAGCACAACCATTCTTTTCGTCCCACCTTTGACTTTTGGCCTCTCTCACTGTTACCTCCACTCCTCCACTCTCCTGCTTGCGATGTGTGTTAAGTCCTTCCCCTCCTTGCTACTGCCCAGACCCGACCTAATTTCAGGCCTTGATTATTCTTTGTAGAACAACTGATGCCTTTTCCACTCTTCCCCCCACCCACCACCTCCCTCCACCCCACTCATCCTCCTGCATGTGACTGAGGGGCAGAGTGTTGTGTAAGCACCCAGCACGGGGCCACGTTTGTACACTCAGTCCAGGAGTGTAAATTATTATTATTATGACTCCTGATGTTTCCACTTTTAAAAATACCCCTTTAAGGGGGAAGGGCATTGCCCAAGAGGTTGAACGTATGCTTAGCAGGCATGAGGTCCTGTGCACAAGGTCCTGGGTTCAACCCCTAGTACCTCCTCTAAAAATAAATAAACAAACCTAATTACCTCCTGCCACCAAAAAAATAAATATTAAAAAAGAGAAAATACATTTTAAAAAATGAATGATAAATAAATAAAAAAAAAACCCTTTAAAAGAATCTATCTTTTTTTTTAAGTTCTTAGAATGCTAAAGGTATAAGTGTTTCTAATTATTATTTTTAGGTATAAAATACAGTTTAGAAAGAATGTAAAATTACTGTCTTCATTTCTAATGTTTGTACCATTTATTTGGGGGGGACTATTATTATTACTATAGTAGCTGTGAAAAAAAAAATTGGTGATGGAACATTCTTGTTTCTGACATTAATTTAATTTCACTTTCTTTTTACTGCAGATTGTTTTTATTTTTAATAAAGGAGCATACTGTTGATTACTTTAATAAATGCTGCTTAGGTCCCCTAATTATTTTCTCCAGTCCTGTTGTCCTCCCCTCCACCCACACCAGAGGCAGCAGTGTCTTGAATTTGTGGTGTGTTCTCCCAGGCCATGCTTCTGTATTGTTACAATGCTGTATAGATACATAAACAATATATTCTTTTTAAAAAATATATATATATTTTATCTTTGCTATTTTTCCTGCACCTTTGAATTCTTTGTCTGTTCCTTTCAGTGCAGGGATAGGCAGGACGGGGTGTTTTATTGCTACGTCCATTGGCTGTCGACAGTTGAAGGAAGAAGGCGTTGTGGACGCTCTCAGCATCGTCTGCCAGCTTCGTGTAGACAGGTGAGTGGCTGCCAGCTGGTGTCATAGACACTGCAGAGCGGCATCCTCGTGATCTGATCAGCCTGACTCGGTAAACGCCACAAGCTCTTAAGTCTTAATTCTCTATAGAGATCTTGTAAGATGCTCAGTTAAGAAGATATTATGTTAAAAAGCCATCAAAGAAAATATTCTTTGCAACACCGACTCTCAGGAGCCCAACACCAAAAGCTGATACTTAACCCCTCCATGTCTGTCATGCAGGCTGTGCACGGGGGCAGCTGCTCCTCTTAGTCTCACCCCCATGCTCCTCTGGAGGTACGGTCTCACTTGACCTAACTGGATCTTCACTTTCGAATCTTGATCTTTTAAAATGAGGCATATGTCCTGCTACCAAGAGTCTGGTTTTTTTTTTCACTCTTCGTTTTTTAATTGCAAAAAAATGCACATAACAAAATTTACCAGCTTCACCATTTTTAAGAGTACAGCTCAGTAGGGTTAAGTCCATTCACATGGTCGTGAAGCCAGTCTCCAGCACTCCTTTCATCTTGCAAAACTCTGTGCCCATTTAACAGCAAATGTCCATTTCATGGCAACCACCATACACTTTCTGACTCTATGAATTTGACTACTCTAGGTGCCTCATATAACTGGAGTCATATAATACTTGTCTGTCTGTTACTTGCTTATTTCACTTAACATAATATCTTCAAGTCTCATCTGTGTTGTGACGTGTCAGAATTTCCTTCCTTTTTATGGCTGAGTAATATTCTATTGTATATTTATACCACATTTTGTTTATCCATTCATCTGTCAGTGGATACTTGGGTTGCTTCCACCTCTTCGCTGCTGTGAATAATGCTGCTGTGAACATGGATGTACAAATAGCTATTTGAGATTCTTTGGGGTATATACTCAGAAATGAGATCGCTGACTCAAATGTTAATAATATGTTTAGTTTTTCAAGAAATACCACACTTTTTCCTGTAGCAGCTGCACGACGTACAGTCCCACCAACAGTGCACAGGGGTTCCAACTTCCCCACACCCTTATCAAAACGTTATCTGTTTGGGCTTTTTTTTAATTGAAGTAGAATTGACTTATAATGTTGTGCTAGTTTCTGGTGTACAGCACAGTGGTTCAGTTATACATATAGATATATTATTTTTTCATATTCTTTTTCATTATACATTTATTACAGAGCTTGAATATAGTTCCCTCTGCTCTACAGTAGGACCTTGCTGTTTATTTTATATATAGTAGTTTGTATCTGCTAATCCCAAACTCCTAACTTATCCCCCTCCCACCCCATTTGGGTTTCTTTTTAATAGCAGCCATCCTAATGAGTGTGACGGGAAAGAGTCACTTTTATTTATAGATGGTTTGATCACCTTTGTGATGATCTCTGTTTATGTGTTGAAAACAGAACAAACAAAAAATTTCTTCCCTTCCTTGCTCTGCAGCTAAGCCTGGGGAAGTGAACAGTTGAGTCAGTGATGGAGAAAGTGAACAGATAGGTGCCTGTTGAGATCAGGCACAGAGAGAAAGATGTTGTCTGGGCATGTGAGCAGTGGTCCTCCCCGCTCCGCAGTTCCCTGTGCTATCGTGGGAGGAGAGTTGTCCTGAAAGGCTGGAATATGAGTTTTCTTCTTCCTTTCATACAGAGAATATTTATCAACCACCGCCTAAACCCAAGGCATTCTTCTAGATGCTACAAGTACAGCATTAAACAAAGTGAATGAGGCTCTGCTCTCCTAGGGCTTACATGCCAACAGAGAAAGAGAGGAGTTAACCAATGGCAAAGAAATAAACAGGATGCTTTCAGACAGAGATAAATGCTACGAGGTAATAAAACAAGAGAGTCCCAGGAGCTGAGCCTCCTGGAATTTAGCCCTATGACCCAGAGTTTCCTAAAAGTAGAAGTATATAGTGGGGAGGGCAGAGCTCAGTGGTAGAGCACAAGTGTAGCATGCACGAGGTTCTGGGTTCAATCCCTGGTACCTCCTCTAATAAATAAATTAACCTAATTACCCTTCCCCCCAAACAAGAACTGGAAAAAAAAATCTTAAAAAAAAAAGTATATGGCACCTCTTAAGATTGGTTCAATAAATATTGACTGAGCACCTGCTGTGTACTGGGTCCTGGAATTTCAGAAACAAACAAAAGCTTTGTTCTAAAAATTCAATGAGAAAGAATATATAAAGCGCTTAGAACGGCGTCTGGCCCACAGCAAGCCTTCAGTAAATGTTCCCTGTTGCTATCATCTTCTTTATTATTAAAATTATCAATCAAATTTCTCCTGTCTCTAAAAACTGAACCTTCAGAGACCCTTTCTGGGTGACGTTTTCCCTCCCCTTCCCTATCATTCCTTGTTTCCTTTTAAATAATAATTTCTAAGTCTTGGGACGTCTATCTCCCCCCCCCCCCCGTTTTTGTCTTAACTTTGACTGGCTTATTAGAGGCTGTTGACCATGGTGGTTGAGATTATGGGCTCTGGAAACAGATTGTGTGGGTCTGCATCCCGGCCCCACCACTTCCTGGTGGTGTGGCCTCCAGCGAGTTACAAGAATTCTCCATGCCTTGGTTTTCTCATCTGGAAAATGGAAGTAAAAATAGCATCTACTTCCTACTGGTGTTACAAGGAATGAGAAATCGTCTGTAAAGGGCCTGGCACGTAAGCATGCAACCGAGGTTAGCCAAGGGTGTTATCAGTAAATCTAGCGAGAACCTGAACACGCATCTGTAAAATGGACCTAATGTTATGGATCCCACGGGGTTGCGGGAACGGTGTGATAAGAGTACACCTGTGGTGTCCTAAGTTGAACACTTAGTCTGGGCTCCTTTCTCTCTTTACCGCACCCCTGGCTTCTGTCTTTCCATGCCCCACAAGTAACTGCTTCCAACAACGTTTTCTTTTCGTGCATCAGAAGATCAGCTTCAGTGATCTCTCCTCCTCTTCTTACAATTGCCGTGTGAGTCTCCTGAACCCCCTTGTCCATCCAGTACTGTCCACCCCAACTGGGTAGAGTCCACTCACTTCACTTCAGGCTCTGGGGCCTCCCTTCAGCGAGGTGAGGGGTCCTCCGTCAGAGGGTCAGGGGCAGCACTCACTGGCCGGGAGCTGCCCCTGCAGGGACCTTGATTTCTTCTGCCTGGTGCTTCTGTAAACGGGGGTCCCGTAGGGGCCCCACAAACCCTCAGGGACCCCAGTTCTTAACCATGTGCCCTGCTTTCATATTAGCTGGTGCCGGAACGCCACGAGTGCCAGACATATAGTTCTAAACAGACGCCAAGCTGGTGTCCAACACCAGCTCTGACCCAGTTTGGAACAACACCCTGGAAAAACAAGGGCTTGGTTTGCTGGTTGTTGGGGCTGGTGTTCCTCTTTGATCTTGCCTGTCCACCCTCTCACTCCCACCTCCCCCGCCTGCTTTTGTGGCCTGACCTCCACCTTGGTTTCCACTTCCCAGCCACAGTCCTCTGTCAAGTCTCCCAGATTGTCCTCGAGCTTTAAAGAGAGTCACAAGTACGTTTTTAAAACCGTTATCAAAATGCCTCCCCTATCGGCTCCTTCCTTCCTAAAGCAAATGGTCAGAAATTTCAGCCTTGGCCTCCCAGCACCACCAAGGTCTTCCCACCAGGCTTGTCTTTTTAGTCCTGATCGGATCTTCAAAACATCTCCAACTTCTCTGCCTAGAGGTTCCCTACCCCCTATACTTTGAATTTGAATTACTGCCAAAATGTGTCTCGATGTCACTCTATCTGCTTTGTTATTCAGGATGCCTTCTACCTAGATTTCTCCTGAGCAGCTGCTTCTGTGTTTTGGAAGCAAATCATCTCCTTGAAAGTTTCCTTGAAAAGTCCTTCCTTGCCTTCCTTCCTTTGCAGGATTAATATAGATTTTCTTTTTCTCGCCTCTTCCTTCTGCTGTGCGTTTCCCTAGTTATTACGACAAGCAAAATGGAAAACCTTCCTCTGTTCCTTTACCCCACCCAGCTTCTTTTCATCCATGCTTTTTGCTTCTTGCTTCAGTTTTTCGTCTTTCTCCTATCATATTTTGTTTTTAAAATTCCAGTGCGTAGGTGACTGCTGCCGCTGACCATGACCCTAACTCGTGCCAGTAAAGGGAAAACTGGCCTCAGAAAATCCCAGTGTCCCCAGCCCTCGTCTCTGTGCCAATCCTTGCCTTCAATTTTGGATCTGTCTTTAGATGTTACAAAATGCGCTGTTGGACACCAGAGATTTATTTAATCAGGGCCGCCCCACCGTGGTCTTCAAAGCACGTGTCTCCTTTAACTCCCAAAATGGACCCAAGAGTAAGAAGAGAGGTATTCCTTGGCCTCATTTAAAAAAAAATAATAGTAATAAGGAAACAAAGAATTCAAGTCAATCGCCCAATATCAGCCAGCTAAGAGGCTGGCAAAGTAGACCTCTTCGGAATCCAGGACTTCTGTTTTTAAACTCGAAGGTATGAATGTCATTGATAAAAGTAAACAGGCTTTTTTATATCTTTATACAAAATTGCTAGACAACAACATACCTCTCTGATAATTCTTTGCCAGTTAGAAAATGCAATGACACCATAATTTTTAAAGCAATGTTTAGTATGAATGAGGGCTATCTTGTAAACAGAGTGAGTGATATTGTCAGCGGTCGCTTTAAGAATGTAATTCGAGGGACGGAGGAAAGTTGCCTCATCCCACAATATCTATCTACGGAGGATATCTGAAATAGTACTTTAGAGAGTCAATCTTTGGCTAAAAGAATCATTCCTTTTTGCAGTTCCCTGACCTAGACTTGGGAGGTGAGGATGACATCTTGGCTATTAACACTGTAATCTCAACAAGGTGATCGATCCTTTTCCAGCTCAAGTATGCTAGCTACAGAGAGCGTAACTCCGCACATTAGGAAGACATTCAGAGCCGGGTTTTGATGAAGGGGACTTGAGGAGAGGGCTCCAGGAGAGGGGCACGCCTGAGGCCCTGCCACGGAGGAGTCCGGGGGACAGCGCTGGGCACTGAAGG